TATTTTTTTTTCTTACGTGCATGTACGGCTCGGTAGAGTCAATATAGCACATGCATTGTGTGCAAATAAATAAATAGATAATTCTTCCAGCATTTCATCTTCCTTGTTATAAAAACTCGAATTCACATGTACATAAGCACTATCAAAGTATCAATTACCAAAACACAAATATAGGAAAAAATAAAGATATGAAAGTAACACAAAAGCCTAAGATAATATGCATCCCTTACCCGGCGCAAGGCCACGTTACCCCGATGCTCCAGCTCGCATTGGGCTTCGTCAGCCGTGGATTCTGCCCTGTGGTTATGACTCCCGAGTCTATCCACCGTCGGATCTCAACTACAAACGAGGATCTTGGAATCACGTTTTTGGCCTTATCCGACGGTCAAGAACGTTCGGACGCACCTCCCTCGGACTTTTTTTCGATAGAGAACTCGATGGAGAACATCATGCCATCTCAGCTCGAACGGCTCTTGCTAGAAGAAGACGTAGGTGTCGCATGTGTTGTGGCTGATTTGTTGGCTTCGTGGGCTATAAGAGTGGCTGATCGGTGTGGCGTTCCGGTTGCTGGATTCTGGGCCGTCATGTTCGCTGCTTACCGTGTGATCGAAGCCATACCAGAGCTCGTACGGACTGACATAGTCTCTCGAAAAGGTCATTTTCATTATTTTAATTTCTCTATAGCATCTTAAGTTAATGACAATTTTTTTATTACAATCATCAATGACATTAATTCACACGAGACCTAGCGCCTAAAACGCAGCGTTGTCGAATAATAATGCCCACCTCCATAAACACTATGCAACTAGAAGCAACTGATTTGTTAGCAAAAGAAAAAAAAAACTAGAAGCAATTGATTTAAATTTTCTATAGGAAGTCGAATAGATATGCAGAACACGGAGGTACGTTATTATTATTTTTTTGTTTGAAAACCTATCTAATACTATACGTCTCCGTGTATTCAAGTTAATTACGTCAACTATATATTTTATTTTTGGTCAATTTTTACGTAAACTATATATATGTAGTGTTTTTATAAATAAAAAACGCATAGTTTTTTTTTCTTTCTTTTCTAACTAATAAAGAACGCATAGTTGATGTAATATAATAATATCTCTAATGAATTTTATTCAATAATACCAACGAGTGGACCAAATAATGTTTATCTAGTGGCATTGTCATGTTGATTGAACTCAAATAATCATACCATGTATATATGATCAGTATCGTAGTTTGGATAGAGCATCTTTTTTTCTTTCATATGAATTTTAACAAAAATATGTTGCCAACAGAACTTAATAGACGTAGTACCCATTATAAAGAGAAACATAACATTAATTAATTTTTTGTGATCATCAATCCATGTTACGTGTTAATTTATGGGTGGTTCCACGAAGCTTACGTCTCTACCAATCTACTTTAGAGAAATAATACATGTGACAATTTTGTTTCCTTTGTTTTATTTATCTTGGTAATGGTAACTAATTTACAGTTGTAACTAACATTGGTATGTAGGCTGTCCTCGTCAACCAGAAAAACCATTAGTCTTACCGGAGCAACCGCTCCTATCCGCCGGAGATCTACCTTGGCTGATCGGAACTCCGGCAGCTCAAAAAGGACGATTCAAGTTTTGGCAAAGAAGCCTAGAACGAATAAAAAGTCTCCGATGGATCTTGGCAAACTCCTTCAAAGAAGAATATAATGATGAATTCTCTGAAGATTTCAACAAAGAAAACAATGGTCGAAACGCTCAAATCTTTTACGTTGGTCCATTACATAACCAAGCAGCAACAAGTAATATGACTTTGACTAAGAATCCTAGTTTCTGGAAAGAAGACAGATCTTGTCTTGATTGGCTCCAAGATCAGAAGCCAAACTCAGTCATTTATATCTCATTTGGAAGCTGGGTTCCTCCTATAGGAGATTCAAAAATTGGGACGTTGGCATTGGCGTTAGAAGCGTCAGGGAGACCTTTCCTTTGGACACTAAACCGGGTTTGGCAAGAGGGACTACCACCAGGGTTTGTGCATAGAGTCACCATAGCCAAGAACCAAGGAAAGATCGTGTCCTGGGCCCCGCAGGTGGAAGTTCTTAACAACGACTCTGTGAGTTGTTACGTGACTCATTGTGGCTGGAACTCGATCATGGAGGTAGATACCAACCCATAGAACATAAGATTCATGAGTTTGCATTTCAAAATCAATTGACAAATAACTGATGATTACGGTATTTTGTTTATGTTAGATATACATATAAGATTTCTAGTAAAAGAAAATGTATATATAGATTGTGGTACCTACTATAAATATACAATGTGTCTTTTAATTTTGAGATATTGCGTACACATTATAGGCGGTGGCGAGTTCGAGGAGGCTAGTGTGTTATCCAGTGGCCGGAGACCAGTTTGTGAACTGTAAATACGTCGTGGATGTGTGGAAGATTGGGGTGAGAATGAGCGGGTTTGGAGAGAAAGAGGTTGAAGATGGGCTGAGAAAAGTAATGGAGGATAAAGAGATGGGTGAGAGATTGAAGAAGTTGAGAGATAGAGCAATGGGGAGTGAAGCTCGTTTGTGTTTGGAAAGAAATTTTACCCTTTTTAAGGATGTGATAAGATAGTAGAGAGGAGTGTATCATAATATTAATTATGTATACAAGTACTTGACCATCGTTTTGATGTTACAATTGCACTATTTTCACTTCAAGATAATAAGGGGAAAATGTATG